AGAGTAAGAGGAAAGGGAAATTATGGGATGCTCAGGACTGCTCTTCTTCTTTTCGTCAGTTAATCTCTTTTTTCGCTTCTGCCCTTGATAACTTTAAAAAAAAAAAAAAAAAAAAAAAAACAAGTTGTTTCACCAATTACTTCAATAGCGGCAGTGTTTATGAGGCCAACCTCGAGCGTCTCTCCACCCAATTCTCCTCAACCAAGGAGTTTCGTAATGGGTTCTACAATCTGACAGTCGGCCAGAGCCACAATCAAGTTAACGCAATTGGACTTTGCAGAGGAGACATAAAGCAGGATGGTTGCAAAAGTTGCCTCAATGAGACCATTCCGAAGCTCCAGCAGAGCTGAATTAACAGGATAGAAGCTCTTGGATGGTCGGATTATTGAAGGCACAATCAACCACCGTAATCAAGGAAATGAAGGAGAAAAGCAAAAGGTGGAAATCAAGGAAATTATTACCGAAGAAAGAGCACAAGTCTTGGAATGGACTTGTAAGGCAGCATATTTTGGGTTTGGCGTGCAAATTCCCTGTTATGACCTTTTGATCATGGGATGAGAATGTGAGCTTGGGCTATTCTCTGTTGGGTTTGCAGCTTGAGCTAACACCATGGTTGAGTCAAAAGTAGATGTTGAGGCATCATTGTCTTTATTACCCCTCTCCTCTTGCTGCTCAATACTAGCAGTATATGGTGCAATTTGGTCTCCAATAGCAGTAGCTAGATTGACAGTACAGGAGGTTGCATGGCCTCCATCATCATTAGCTAGAGATGGCTCTTGGCTTATAGCAGTTGATTGTGTAGGACCCATGTGAGCTTCAGAATAGGTAGAATCCATAGTATTTATATTCTCTACAACAGGAAGCAAAGTGATATCAGTATCTTTAGGGGTAAACCACTCATTAAAATTTGTAATTTCTCCTTCAGTTAATTGTTTCCCATATAATGCATTTGGATCTGCAAAAGGGAGACAAGTTTCATCAAAAACCACATGTCTTGACACATACATCCTTCCTATTGATGGTGAAAAACACTTGTATTCTTTGTGCTTCATACTGCACCCCATGAAAATACAAGGTACTGATTTAGGATCAAATTTATTTCTCCGATAATCCCCAAGATATGGGAAACATTTGCATCCTAAAATACGGAGTGAAGTGTAGTCAGGGTGTTTCCCATATAACTTAAAAAATGGAGAGTCCATGTCAAGACTTGGTGAAGGGAGCCTGTTTATTAGGAAAACAGCAGTCGAAAATGCATCAGTCCAAAATTTTACTGGTAACTTAGCATGGAACATCATAGTTAAGCCCAATTCTGTAATATTTCTATGCTTTTGTTCAACCAAACTATTTTGTTATGGTGTTTTTGGACATGCAGATTGGTGGTGTATTCCTAAACTTGTTAATAATTGTAATAGATTTTTATTAGCAAATTCTCCACCTTCATCTGTTTGCAATATTTTTATTTTCTTACCAAATTGGTAACCAACATATTTATAAAAATGAGTAAAACAATCTAAAAAATCAGATTTTTTCTTCATAGGGTAAAACCAAGAAAAACGAGTAAAGCCATCTACAAAAATAACATAATAGCGAAAACCTTCACTAGACTTGAAAGGTGCAAGTCCCCAAAGATCACAACTGATTTTTTGAAAAGGTTCATCGCATGTATCATCTGTTTGTAAAAAAGGAAGTCTACATGTCTTTCCCCTTTGATAGCTATCACATATTTCATTAAAATCTCGAATAGTATTAAAATTAATAAGTTTCTTCCGAAAAAGAAAATCAATGATACAATATTGAGGGTGCCCAATCTTTGGTGCCACCCCACTTTATTGGTCTTCCTAAAACGACTTGAAAAAAGTGCTGTATATCCACCATCTAGTGCATATAGCCCTCCCTTCCTTCTACCTGTGGCAACTATTTCTTTGGAGAATCTATCCTTGATAACAAATCTAGCATTGTCAAACTCAAAAATACATGGTAAATCATTAGTGAATTGACTTACAGAAAGTAAATCTTTTTTTATTTGTGGAACCAAGAGCACATTTTTAAGAGGAATGTCATGATCACCACAATTCAAATGTGAATCACCAACATGTGTTATATTTAAAGTCTCACCATTTCCTACCATCACACCATCATTTCCTTTATAAGGTTTTAAATTTATTGAAGGCACAATCAACCACCGTAATCAAGGAAATGAAGGAGAAAAGTAAAAGGTGGAAATCAAGAAAATTATTACCAAAGAAAGAGCACAAGTTAGCAACAATCGAGAAGCCAACAACAGTCGAGAGCAAGTCAGAAGAGCAATCCAAGGAAATAATACAAAGAAAGAATAAGAAAGGATCTCAAAGCTAATTAAAATATGGTCGTTGTACATAAATGCATTCTTTATATTGGTAATCTTGACTTAATGTCAATGATTCCTAAAATCATGCTATATGTAATCTGTAAATAATATAAATAGTGAAAAATCCTCTTTCTCTCCTCACCTTGAGAGACACTTCATATCCTGGTGCCTAAAACACTTTTATGGTATCAAAGCTTTTTGAGAGACACTTCATATCCTGGTGCCTAAACGCTTTTATGGTATCAAAGCTTTTCGGTGAGGAGAGAAAGAGGATTTTTCACTATTTATATTATTTACAGATTACATATAGTATGATTTTAGGAATCATTGACATTAATTCAAGATTACCAATATAAAGAATGCATTTATGTACAACGGCCATATTTTGATTAGCTTTGAGATCCTTTCCTATTCTTTCTTTGTATTATTTCCTTGGATTGCTCTTCTGACTTGCTCTTGACTGTTGCTGACTTGTGCTCTTTCTTTGGTAATAATTATTTCCTTGATTTCCACCTTTTGCTTTTCTCCTTCATTTCCTTGATTACAGTGGTTGATTGTGCCTTCAATACGGATCTTTGTATGTTTCGCTACTCAAATCGAGAAATTTATGGAGTTAAGCAAACCATCCCTGACAGAATGATAAAAAGCGATTTAAATGTGTCCAATGTTGAAAAATTCAATCTGGTATTGAGTTCCTTGCTGAATAATTTGAGCAGTCGTGCAGCTACCGGAAATACTTTTGGCAAGTATGCGGCAGGTCACGCGGCAGCTCCAAATAACTTTGGGGGTGTGTACGCATATGCGCAGTGCAGTCCCGAATTGTCCCAACAAGAGTGCGGTGAATGTCTGGAATCGGCCATTGGAAAGATTGGATTCTGCCATGGGTCGATCGGATACCTCCCTCACCTAACACCATTACTAACACCCGTTATTAACACCGTTACTAATTGTCATGTAATGGAATTTACCATCAAACCTTTTCCCATTCATTAATTTATTATTTTTCTTATGAATTTCAATTTTAAGTCCCACATGTGCCATGTCACCCACCATGTCATTAACTTAGATTTGCCCCCAAACTTATGAAAATAATACACACACAATTTATTTTTACCAATATGAAAG